CCAAGTGTCCTTCGTCTGAGGTAGGGATTTCAGCACTTCCCTCCTGGTGTTGTCTTGAGGGACATAAGGCCAGATGTGAACATGCCGAGCAGAGCCCAGCAAATGCTTGGGAACTGGCAGTGATGAGGAGGGACGGGTCAGCTCTGCCCCTTTGGGCCTCGGTGAGAGGGAGCCTTAGCCAATGGCCTGGTGACTCCACTGAGCTGGACCAGGCTCAGGCCCCAGGTCACACTGCACATGAGTCCTTGCATATGTGGAGGCCATGGTGGCTCCTCACCAGGCCTTAATAGGCCAGGCCAGCCAAGGGGACCCATTCCTGCTGGACATGTGGCATACCTGGCACCATCATGCACGCCTGCCACAGCCACTGCCACACTCAGTCCCTTCCTGTCTGTCACAGATTTCTGGCATCAGAAAAACACCGACTATAATAACAGTCCCTTCCACATCTCCCAGTGCTTTGTTCTAAAACTCAGCGACCTGCAGTCAGTCAATGTTGGGCTTTTCGACCAGTATTTCCGGCTGACGGGTAAGTGACCCACTGTGCTTTGTCCTGTTTGGGGGTGAAGGCCAGTGTCACCAGTGGGCATTCATCTTCCATGTGTGGATGTGTTATCATAGGCAGAGTTATCTCTGCTCATGAGCCAGTTAACCAGGGCAGGAGGAAGCAGCTTCAGGAACTGCTGAGACTGCAGAACTCTCGCCCCCGTCTGGGGGGCGGGGTGTGCAACAAGCACCAGCCCGGACGGACAGACAGGCAGAGCGGGCCCTGGGCTCAGAAGCAGGACATTTCTGACTCACTTCCTGCAGAGAGAAAGCTAAACTCTTTCCCTAATGCCTCTGTATCCCCTTCCAGAAAAATGTCTCAGCCCTTCCGGCCTGAGAAATGGCTGCTTCCCTGGGCCCCATGATGCTTCCCCGTGTGGGCCATCCTGGCCCTGGCTTTCTAGGCTTCGGATCTAGGCTGAGACTCACTAGGGAATAAAGCGGCTCCCAGGGAGGTGGGGACAGGGCTGGGGGAGTGGTGGCCTGTGACCATGACCAGCCTCTTTCATGCAGGCTCCTGCCCAGCACAGGTGGTCACGTGCTTGACGCGGGACAGCTACCTGACCCACCGCTTCCTCCAGCACCTCCTGGCTGTGCTCTCCTCGCTGGAGCGCACGCCCTCACCTGAGCCTGTCGACAAGGACTTCTACTCAGAATTTGGGAACAAAACCACAGGTACCCCATCCAGCTCAGACTACAAACAGACCACCTGAGTGGATGTCATGGGCCCCAGCGCCCTCTCTGCCTCTGTCTCTGTCACTTTCTGTTTTCCCACTTAGCTGACCAGGGTTTTATGTAGGGCTGTTCCAGTGCAGAGTCTCCATCCTAGCAGTTCCTCAGCCATCTGCAGACACGTCTCATATGTCTGCTTTGGGCTGCTGGCTTCTGGGGCTCTGCTGAGTGAGCGGGCTTTGTGCACCCTCTCCTGCCTCTCTCATGCTGAGGTCTCTGGGTGGCTTGGGGCCACTGGTTCCCCCAGCCCCACCATAGGCCAACTCCAGGCTACAGCCCTGGTGGCATCTCTCCGCAGGGAAGATGGAGAATTACGAGCTTATCCACTCAAGCCGTGTCAAGTTCACCTACCCCAGCGAGGAGGAGATTGGGGACCTGACATTCACTGTGACCCAGAAGATGGCTGACCTGGAGAATGCCCCGGCCCTCAGCATCCTGCTGTACGTGCAGGCCTTCCAGGTGGGCACGCCGTCACCTGGGCGCTGCAGGGGCCCACTGCGCCCAAAGACACTCCTGCTTACCAGTGTCGAGATCTTTCTCCTGGATGAGGACTACGTCCATTACCCACTGCCCGAGTTTGCCAAAGAGCCGCCACAGAGAGACAGGTACCGGCTGGACGACGGCCGCCGCGTTCGGGACCTGGACCGAGTGCTCATGGGCTACCAGACCTACCCGCAGGCCCTCACCCTCGTCTTTGATGATGTGCAGGGCCATGACCTCATGGGCAGTGTCACCCTGGACCACTTCGGGGAGGTGCCAGGTGGCCCAGCCAGGGCTGGCCAGGGCCAGGAAGTCCAGTGGCAGGTGTTTGTCCCCAGCGCTGAGAGCCGAGAGAAGCTCATCTCACTGCTGGCCCGCCAGTGGGAGGCCCTCTGCGGCCGCGAGCTGCCCGTTGAGCTCACCGGCTAGCCCAGGCTACGGCCAGCCCTTGCCATCTGCCGTGTCCACCCTGGCGCCTACTTGGAGCAGGGAGGCGGGCTTTCTTTGTCCTCCTAAAAATGTTTTCTCCTCCCTTTTGGTACCTTAATTTGACTGTCCTCAGAGAGAATGGAAGGTGCGTGTTCAGTTTAATTCTTTCCACTGTTGGGAGTGAAAACACAGGGCCCCCCCAGGGCTATTGTATGCCATCACCCTCCTGTGGGTGCGTTACCAGCCCCTGGAGTGGCATGGCCGGGCACACCAGTGTCGTATCTTGTCATAGTACTGTTGTTAACACGTGGCACTGTGGACCTGATTTACTGTTCTACTTGTCCTTTCCTGAAGTGTCAAGTCCAGTTCTTTGTTGCTGTTGCGTTGTTGTGGGCGTTCTGCTGCTAATTATGAAGCTGATAGCAGAATGCACATTGGAAGCTCCCACCTCGTGTGGTTTTTCCAAGTGGAGGCTTCCCCTGGTCCAGACAAGTGGGAGAGCCCCATGAGGGCAGGGGTCCCCCAGGCTTTGGGGCTCAGAGGGGTGGGAGCAAGGGACCTAAAGCTGCTAGCACCAAACGTGATTCCTGTTGCCTATTTTCTCTATTCCAATAAAGCAGTTTGCCACAGCCTGTGTCTTCTGTTTCAAGGGTCACTGGGGTCCCAGAGGGCATGCTTGGCATGGTGGGGAAGGGTGCCCTGGAGACATAGGAGGGGAAGGTGTTGGGGAAAAGGAAGGAGGAGAAGGGAGCAGCCTTCCAGGAGCCACACGCTTGGTAACTGGGGAGGTGTGAAGGGACCTCTCTGTACAAGGCCATGCTGGGCTATGGCTAAACCATAAACCTGGGGCAAATGAGAAGAGTCTGGGACTCCTCAGGCCACCCCTGACATACCAGCCCACTGCCCCTGTGCCTTTGAATGGCAGCAGGGAGGACCTGTGGGGAGTTGGACCTAGGCAGTGGACAGGGGAGGAGGGCCCATCCCAGAGAGATGGGGTTTGCCTCAGGAAGGTAAGACCTGGGATTTCTTTGAGAGCCAGCCCTGTGCCTCACCCTTCGGCCCCAGAGCAGGGCCTGCAGTGTACTCACCTGGCTCATCCTGGCCCAGTCGGAACCTTCAGCCCCCAGGGCCTCCAGCCCACTGGGCCAGGCAGGGTTGTGGGAAGGTAAGTAGAGAGTGACAGGCCAGCTCCCAGGCCTGCCTCTGCTCCCCAGCTTTCCTTTGGGGCAGTGAAGTAGGGATCCCATCCTGGAAGACCCATCACCTTCAGGAAAGCTGGGGCCATGGAGTGGGAGGAGGGACAGGAGATGGAAGGAATCACCAAGGGGAGGATCTCCCCACTCACAGCCTCCCCCAGCCAGACCTCAAAGGCCAGCTCAATGGCCCTTCCAAGCTGCTGAGGAGGTGGGGCAACCAGCTTCCCTCAACCAGGCCTTTACCAAAGGCATTACAAATGGCCACCAGGCTCTGTGGTCAGCTCTTGCCTATTTCCATTTCCATTGTACCCTCTGGAATGGGGGTGGTGGCAACCAGGGGCAGAGCTCACCATGTCCAGGCCTGGCATGCAGAGGCCCCACAGCCTGACGTGGACCAGGGTCCCCAGCCTGTGTCCATAAGGGCAGCACCTCCTGGGGGAGGCTCTGCAGGCAGCAGACCTGGGATTGGATCTGAAACACTGAGAGACCCTGGACAAGCTACCTAGCCACTGTGAGCCTCAGTTTCCCCACCAGTAGTAGGGATAATAAAAACCTTCATTCATTTCACATCTGTATTTAGCATCTACTATGTGTAGCAGCCAGACACCATGCCTGTTCTCCACAGCTGACATTCCAGTGGAGAAGACAGAAAATAAACAAGCCAGTGTTAGCCATGGCCAGTGCTATGAGGAGGTGAAACCAGGTGTAGGGCGACCCTGCAGCCTGGATCAGGGACACTCTCTGACTGGCAGTCTTTGAGACTGGACCTATGAGAAGGAGCCAGCCTGTGACAATCTGAGACAACAGCATGTGCCAAGTGCCCTCGCTTTTAAGGAATAGAAAGGCCCGAGTGGCCAGAGCAAAGTGGGAGAGCCAGAGAGGCCAGCCCAGCATGGAGAGGGGGTTGGAGGACAGTGGGAAGTCAACAGGGGCACAGGCTGCTGAGCGGAGGATGGTCCCGGGAGCGAGGGGCCGGGAGCAGGGAGAGGAGGGGTGCGTGGACGGTATGGGGGGTCCGGAGTGGTGGTGGCTGAGGGGCAGGACCAGCTGGTGTAGTGGCTGGGGCAAGTGGTGCCTGGCAGCAAGTCACAGCCCTGTGGCACACTCAGCAATTGAAGAGGTTGAGGCAGGGTCAGACAGACTGGTTCAGGGCTGCCCTGCCTCCTGACGACCAGACCCTCAGAGTCTCTTAATGAAATGTGCTGGGCTCAGCAGGTAGATGGGGAGGCGCTCATATTTGCATCTGAATTTGCTTCAGAACCCCTGACAGAACCTAGATTCTCTGGTAGATCCCGTGGCTAATGGTGGGCTTGGTGGGCTTCCAGGCTGTGATGCTGGGCGGGTGGTCCTGGGCCAGGCAGCCCTGACCAGGACCCAGGTTGTCCATGTGCAGGGGTCAGCAGCCAGCGCCTTCTCTTCCGCCTGCAGGCTGCTGATATGCAGGAGGAAATCCTGACAGATTCCTGAGGGGGTGAGCTGGCGGGGCCTCCGGGCTGCTTTTAAGGCGACTGCCCGCCCCATCCCGCCTGCCCGCCCCATCCCGCCTGCCTGCCCCGTGTCTGCCTCCCAGAGCTCATTCTCCACGCCGCCAGCTGCCCCAAGTCTGTCCCGACAGCGTGCCCGCCAGCCATGGCGGCACCCCAGGTTCTCTTCCTGCTCTGCCTCCTGGCCTTCTGCTTGGCAGGCTCCAGCTTCGTCAGGGGGCAGAAGGTGAGTGTGAGCCAGTTGCAGGGGGACGTGGTATCCAGGCCCGGCCAGCCGGTGGTGGGAGTAGGGAGGGACTGCACATGGATGGGCACGGGTCTGGGAATACACGGAGCAGCTAGCACCTGTCTGATCTCTGAGCAGGCCCAGGGCTGTTGTGCCCACCTCCATGAGGTCTGTGTCTGGCCACCTGGAGTGCAGGGGTGTATCGGTGGCCCGCTGGCTGTGTGGTGTGGACAGCTGTCTCAGGGCTCCCCAGCTTGCAGGCCAGGGGGTGCACAGCCAGACCCATCCTCCTGCCCTCCCCGCCCAGACTGAAGCCAGGTCTCTGCATGACCCTCATCTTGGGGTTGGAGATGTGATCGCCCCAGAGGAACCCACTGTGTGTGCGTGTGTGTGCTGTGTCCAGCCCCAAGAGTGCCTGGAGACAGAATGAGAGTTACTCACTCCCAGTGCTGCTGGGTAAACAGCAGCCAGCAACAACACCCTCGAGCCTCAGAGCTGCCGGTCAGCAACCACAGCCCTGGGCACATCCCCTTGAATCCTCATGACCTCTGGGCAGTGTGTCCTGTTGTTCACGTGAAGTAGCCAAGGCCTGAGGATGAGGGAGGCAGACCATTCCCATTCTGGAGCCACACTCCAGACCACCGCCTGCAATGCCCCATCCAGGTGTGCTGGTAAGCAGACAGGTCCTGAGCATCTGTGCAGAGCCCCTCTGTCAGGGCCCTGTGAGCCAGCCACCGCCAGACTGCCTGTCTGCAGGTCACCCCAGGTAGGGATGGTGTTCCTACTGAAGCTTCTGGAAGAGCCTCCCACCCTGAGTGTGGAGATAGAATCCCCTGGCTGGGACCTGCCCCCAGGTGAGGTACCTTCCTCTGTGAGGCCAAGTTCACCTGCCTCTTAGGGCGGCTGCCTCTGTCCTAGGGCACTAGTGGACAGACTAAGGTCTAGAGAGGGGAAGGACTTGCCCAGAATCCCACTGTCAGGCAGTCCAGGGACCCAAGTCCCCTGCCACTATCAGGCTCTCTTGTAGTCCTTGTGGTCCTTCAGATAGGTGTCAGGGTAGGGGGCTCACCAGCTTCAGGGCCAGGCCAGAGTTTGGAGTGGGCAGATGTGAGGCTAAGAAGGTGACAGTGACAGCAAAAGAACCAAGGGTTCCAGAGCTGTGCTGAGCCCTGCAGTTGGGTTCCTGCCCTCTCCCTGCCTCAGTTTCCCCATGTGTACAATGCAAGGGAATTTCAACATCCTTGCTACCTCCTCATGTTCTGGGCAATGGGGACAAGGGCCAATGAAGGGCCTCAGGTTGAAGTTTTTCCTTGTCAGAGACCTGTGGCTCTGACCACCCCTAAGTCTGCATTCTTGGGCTGGGACTCAGCCAGCCTGGGCCAGGGAAGAGGATCCAGGGGTCCTTGGGGGTGGGAAGTAGCAATGCTGTCCTCATCTCACACACACTCGCAGCCACTCAGCCCTCCTGTCACGCATTCATGATATACCTAACCAAATTTTTTTCATATTTATTGAAAAAATCTGCACATAAATGGCCCCGCACAGCTGAAACCCATATTATCGAAGGGTTTGCTATAATGCTCTGTGCTAGACACGTGCTGGTGGAGTCCGTGGTCTCAAGCCGGGGTTCAAGGGAGAAGGGGGCATTGTCCAGAACCCAGCCCTGTCTCCTCCCTGCTCTCATCTAGGGCAGGGGGATGCAATTTGGGGGTCCCTTTCCTCTCAGAGGATTTGGGTTTGGGGTTTCTCGGCCCCAATTTCTTTTACCTTCTTACCAATAGGCTTTAATACTTTATGTCCCCTCAACTTCTCCCAGCAGCATCTCTGTGGGAAGCAGACATTGTAAAATCAGTTCTGAATTGGGTGGTGGGGATGGGCGGGGAACACCCCCTCTGGCTCAGGCAGTCCGAGGTTCCCCCAGGAAGAGGGGGTCTGATTTAGCACTCAGGACGTGATCCAGCCTCGCTCCACTCAGCAGGACCAACAGCAAGGGCAAGGGCAGGACCTGAGTGCCAGCTGCAGGTGTGGTCCCTAGAGATGAGCCCATTTGGCATCTGGCTTGTCCGTCCATCACCATTTCACACACATTTATAAGCACCAGTATCTTGTGAGTGAGCATCTACCACCAGGACCCGAAGCTCCAGCTTCCTCCCGGGTCCTGACTCACCTGTGGCGTCACCCAACCCTGGCTCTGCCCTGTGAGCCCTTATTCAGACCTGACCAACATTACTCTGAGAGCTGGTCCTGAGCCAGAGTGGTGACCGTGCTGGCAGCTCTGCTCAGCTGGCCAGGTGGCCTTGAGGGGAGCCCGCCACCCGCCAAACCTTCCCTGAGCCAGCAGCTGCTCAGCTGGAGTTACCCAATTTCCTAGTCACTCCCTGGCTCAGCAAAGATGAGCCTCGGGATGGGGAATGAGACCACAACATCCCAGCTCTGCAGCTTGACACTGAGGCCACTTGGAGCAACTTCCCTCTTTGCAGACCACAGAGACATGAGTGGAAAAACCCAAATCATAGAGGCCCTGGGACACTCGTGCTTACCAGAAGAAAGTGTCGGTGGCACTATTTCTCCTTTTCTCTTGCTTTGAGAAGCCACACATCTGTAACTTATTCTAGGAAAGGGATGTTCTGGGCTCACTTCCTTTGGACCACAGTGTGTTCAGCATTTTTCAAGATGAGAACATCTCAGCTTCTCGAGGCCATGCCCCAATCCCCCAAACCCTCCCCTCCATCAAAATGCACCTTCCCTGTGCCCCTTTCTCTAACTTATAAACATGAGTTTCGATTCTACCCCTCCAGGGAATGGTGCTGCAGGTTACTGGGACTTTGCTGCCATAAGGCAGCCCCAGTGGTGGACTCCTGGGAGCTGTGGACCAGCGCATGGGGCTGCAAAGCTGGGGCTTTTTTCAGCACACTTGTGTCCATGTCATGGTGGCAGGCTGGGCGCCCTCACATCTGCCATCCCCCACCCAGTTGTTGAGCCCTGCCCCAGTTCATCCCACCGCCCCAAGTCCTCTTGATCCCCACCAAGTCTCCATTCTCTCTGTCCCTGCCTCAGGTGATGACCCCTGTCTCTGCCTCCACTCTGCTCTCCATGCAGCAGCCAGGGGGACCATGAAAACACAAACCAAGTCATGGGGTTGTCCCCAGTGCTGCCTCCCCCAGGCTTCTGAGGCCCTGCCACCCTGGCCACCAGCCCTGCTCCAGCCTCTCCTTGGGCCACTCTGCCTTGTCACACATGGTTGTTTGCTCCACTCCCGGCCTTGCTTCTGCTGTCCCCTTGGCACTGCCCCTGCCCAACCTCCTTCAGGTCCTAAGTCAATTTTCACCTCCCCCAGGAAGCCACCTGGGCCTCCAGCCTGGGTGCTCTTGTTTCCCTTGGCTGGAACCAGGGAGCCAGGGACCCTGGCCTGGACCACCGGGTCTCTGCCTGTGGGTGGGGGCTGTGGGTCAGGCGTGGAGTCAGGGCTCAGTGAACTGTGACTGCCCAGCCCAAACGGGCTGACCAGACACCTTGCACACTGCTGCTCACAGAAGCCCAGCCTCTCAGGTCTGGGCTCTTAGTCCCTGACTCCTGGGCAGTGGAGAGGGCCCTTGGGCTTGATTAAGGAGGGTCATTTGGTGGCAACCAGGCCTCGTGGTGCATGGCTGAAAGCCGGCATCCGCCTGTCCTCGTGAATTGAGGATGGAGTCAGTGTCAGCCTTGTCATTTATTGTTTGTTTCTTTCTTTCCTTCTTTCTTTTTGGTGGCTGGTTGGTACGGGGATCCAAACCCTTGATTTTGGCATTATAACACCGCGCTCTAACCAACTGAGCTAACTGGCCAGCCCTGATTTTTTATTTTTAAACTGAAAGGCAAAAATAAGCAGTTGGCTGCGAAAGCAGGTTCTAGTTCTCGATTCCCACCCTCACTGGGTGACTTTGGACAAGGGCTACCTGCCCTGGGCTTCAGTTTCCTCCCCTGAAATGGGCTGAGGTGGAACCACATGGCCAGAGTCTCTACGTGTCAGAAAACATAGAGTCTGAGGCTTTGGGGCCATGGAAAGAGGGACACATGGTGGCATTAACAACTCGGCAGGCGAGTTTCTCAGGGCCTTCCCCGTCCTCACTGCATTCCCACTGAACTCATGGGAAACTGAGGATGGGGCAGGGAGGAGGTCTAGGCCTTGCAGCGATCAGGGCAGAGTCAGGACTAGGCCCGGGGTCCAGCCCCTCATTCCACACTCTGCCCATGGCCCAGGTGCGGTCCAAACGCTGTGACATGAAGACCAAGTTTGTCACTCACATGCCCTGCACCCCGTGCACTGCTGTCAAGAGGCGGGCTTGTCCCCCAGGCTGGCTTCGGGAGACTTCAGAGAGGATATCCGAGAACTGCCGGTGTGGACCCCCCACCCCTGCCCTTGCCCATTTCCAGAAGCATCCTATGGGGTGGGAGGGGACCAGGGGGAGCCTGACAGGCCTGCAGAGTGAGGGCAAGAGCTCATTTATTCACGCATCTGTCAGCCCTTCCAGGGAGGCAGAGATAGGCAGGGAGGGAGAGAGAAGAGGACAAGGGGCAGACGGCAGGTTTATTGGGCACCTACTATGCTCCAGGCCCTGTGCTCAGCTCTGAGCAAGGCAGAGAGAGGAGTGGTGAGGTGAGAGCCCCAGATCCCAGTGTGGGGAGGCTAGGGCGAGGGCTGCGGTGGAAGCACTGCCCACCTTCTGTCCCCAGCTACGAGGTGCAGCTGGGGGACTCTTTGGTGTCCATGAGCGGCTGCAGCCCAGAGTGCTGGAAGGATGTGGTGCAGAAGGCCTGCTGCCCTGGCTACTGGGGGTCCCAGTGCTATGGTATGTGGGGAGGGAGACCCTGCCTTGCTCCTCACACCCCAGCCCCAGCCCTGGGCTCCCCATCTGTAGGAGCTGCCTGTGTTCCCCTTCACCTTGTTCGTTTAATGAACACAATGAGAGCCTCCAAGGCTTGGCCCCACTAGCTCTGGCTGCCCTGGGGGAGGGGCCAAGTCTGGGTCTGGCCAGAGCTGCTGGGGTCAGGGCAAGTGGAGGGTTCTGGGGACAGAGCTGAGTTCTGGGGGCTCCACAGAGTGCCCTGGGGGTGCCGAGACCCCATGCAATGGCCACGGGATCTGCCTGGATGGCATAGCCAGGAATGGGACCTGCATTTGCCAGGTAAGGGCCGGGCAGGGTTGGGGAGGGGGCTTGGAGGGGCCACACTGAAATGATGCATCCACCACTAGGAAAACTTCAGCGGCTCAGCCTGCCAGGAGTGCCAAGACCCCAACCGGTTTGGGCCTGACTGTCAATCAGGTGAGTGCTTGCAAGGCAGGAGGGCAGGGCCAGTGTCCACCTGGGGGCCCACAGGGACACAATCCCTACAACCAGCCCCCACCTATCCCTTCAGCCTTCCCTCCCAGCCCCTCGGCCTTGCATTTCCTCTCAGGAACACGTGCTTTGCTTCAGCATGCCTTCAGGCCTTTGCACATGCTGTTCTCCTTAGAGTCTTCCAGGAAGCCCTCCCTGAACCCCCAGTCTGGGACAAGTGCCTTCTCTGGGCTCCGACCACCCCTGTGGTCCTGCATAATAGCTTTGTACCCTTGAGGTTATACCTGCTGGAGCTGAGTTCTGAAAACATGGAGAGCAGGAATCCAATATTCCTGTGTGTGCCTGAGTGAGGCTGGAGTCCCACCTGTCTCTCTGCATCCTTCCCAGTGTGCAGCTGTGTGCATGGTGTGTGCAGCCATGGGCCACGTGGGGATGGAAGCTGCCTGTGCTTTGCTGGTTACACTGGCCCCCACTGTGACCAAGGTGAGCAGTGCTTCTCGTGCAGCAGGTCCAGAGCAGGAGAGGCCAGGTGGGTGAGAGATGGGGCCTGAGCCTCAGCAAGACCTCTGCCTGCAGTCTGGGGTGGGGGACAGGGTGTCATCCAGGACCTCTACTGTCCAGAGACCCAGAGAGGGCAGGGCCCTACTCTCTTAGAGTCACACAGCAAATCGGATAGAGTACTTTCGCTCCTGTGTTCCTCCCCAACCTGGGGCTTCAGGCCATCGCAGTGCTCTCTCCTCTCTGTTCAGAGCTACCGGTCTGCCAGGCCCTGGGCTGTCCTCAGAACTCCCAGTGTTCTGCAGAAGCCCCCACCTGCAGGTGCCTGCCAGGCTACACCTGGCAGGGCAGCGAATGCCGAGGTGAGCCTGTAACCTGGAGGCCGGGGACCCCACTCAGGGTGGGCAGATGTTGGGAGGGCATCCTTTTAGTCCAGCAACTGTCATCTGGCCATTTACAGAGGGAGAACTGTCCCCAACAGGACAGAGAGCTGTCCTCAAGGCCTCGGTCATCCTGCTCACCCCACCTTGTGGCCATCCTGGCACAGGCTATGGAGCAGACGGGGCTCCTGGGTGTTCGATTCACTTGGGCTCTCTTTGCCCTGGCAGCTCCCCACCCCTGTAAGCCATCACCCTGCTACCCACTGGCCCAGTGCTCGGTGAGCCCCAATGGGCAGGCTCAGTGTCACTGCCCTGAAAACTACCATGGCGATGGGACGGTGTGTCTGCCTCAGGACCCGTGCACCAGCAACCTGGGTGGCTGCCCCAGCAACTCTACCTTATGTCTGTACCAGAAGCCAGGCAAGGTGAGCTGGGGGCGGGGACCAGGCCTACCCTGTGGTCCACCCACCCACACTGGCTGTGGGACCCTAGGCAAGTCACAGGCCCTCTGGGGGCCTCAGCCCTATTCTTGGAGGGCGGTTGTGGAGCCGAGCAGTGCTCTGCGGGTGCAACAGATGCCAGGGGTGCTTAGGATGTGCTGTCCCCTCCTGCTCTGCTGGGGGCCAGGCCTCCTGCTTGTGCCAGCCAGGCCTGGTCAGCATCAACAACAATGCCTCTGCGGGCTGCTTCGCCTTCTGCTTCCCCCACTCCTGCGACCAGTCAGCCACCTGCCAGGTGACCCCTGATGGGAAGACCAGGTGGGCACAGGGGCCTCGGGGGGGTGCTGGGGAAAAAGCAGAGAGGGTGGGTTGAGCAATTGTGCTCACGTGTGCACCCTCAGTTCAAGGCCCTGCGGAGAGGGGTGGGTGAGGGCTAGGAGGCAGGGACTGACCAGCCGGCAGCCCTGACGGTTCTCTCTGGGCCCTCAGCTGTGTGTGCAAGGAGGGCGAGGTGGGGGATGGGCGTGCCTGCTACGGACACCTGCTCCACGAGGTGCAGAAGGCCAGACAGACAGGCCTGGTATTCCTGCGGCTGAGAGTTGCTGTCGCCATGCTGGGTGTGTGACCCCCACTGCCTGCCCGTGACCCCGCCCCTTGCACGCCCGCAGAGCTGGCAGGGAGGGAAGGGCAGGCTCTGCAGAGATTCCTGCTTCCCTGCCCTACAGCTGCAGAAGCAAAGAATGGGCTGCGGTGGCGGCATGACGGAGGGGGAGCTAGCCCCCAATCCCCAGTGCCATCACCCCAACTCCCACAAACCTAGGGTTGATGCTGGAGGGTCTCCCCAGACCCATTCTGACTCCCTTTCCTGGCCCCCCAGACCAGGGCTGCCGGGAGATCCTCACCACATCGGGCCCGTTCACCGTGCTGGTGCCATCCACCTCCTTCATCTCCTCCACCTTCTCTACCTCCTCCCTCTCTTCCAGGACCATGAATGTGAGCCCTTCCCCATGGCAGACTGGCCCTTCCTCCTGCCCTGGACGTTGCCCCAGTCTTCAGGGCCCTGAGAGAGTCCCCCCTCCACACTTGAGGCCCTGAGGCCTGGGAGGCATCTTGTCACCTCCTCTGCTTGGGCAAGGGTGGCGTGAAGAGGACTGGCCCACCATGGGCTCACTGGCACCCCATCCCCTTGTGTCTGCAGGCCTCCCTTGCCCAGCAGCTCTGCAGACAGCACATCATCGCAGGGCAGCATGTACTGGAGGACACTGGAGCCCAGAATACACGCAGGTGGTGGACGCTGGCGGGGCAGGAGATCACTGTCACCTTCAACCGCTTTATGGTAAGAGAGGGACCTCAGCCTGGGGACCAAGGAAGTCACAGGTGGGGACACAGCCCGGACAAAGGCATGGTGATGGGAAGGAAATTTGGGACAAGGGGCTGGCAAATGGGATTTGGCCAGACATCTTGTGTCTCAGCAGAAATACGCCTACAAGTACAAAGACCTGCCCCAGCAGACATTCACCATCCACAGGGCCAACTACATAGCGGCCAATGGAGTCTTCCATGTGGTCACTGACCTGCGGTGGCAGCCTCCATCCGGGCTCCTTGGGGACCCTGGGGTGAGCTGGTGCCCTCCCCTCCCCCATCCTGTGCTGCTGGGTGACCTCTGACCCCCGTAGAGTTCAGGGAGGAGGTAGGAGCTGTTCAGGGCAGGACTGGAGCACACCTCCTTGCCCCTGGGGCTGAAGCAGCCTCATCCCCTTCCCTGAGGCCCTCGTACTCATCCCTTCCGACAGAGAACTATTGGCCAGATCCTCGCCTCTACGGACGCCTTCAGCCGGTTTGAAACCATCCTGGAGGTGAGCCGGAGGGAGGGGTCCTAGCCCATTAGGGCTTCTAGGCCAAGACTCCATCACCCCAGAATCTGCCCCACAGTGATCGGGAGCTCTGGAGTAGCATAACCTTCGCCTCCATCATCGAGCCTGCCCAACATAATCACGATGTTGTGCAGTAGCATGGACCCTCTGCCACTTACTCTGTGGGAGTTTCCTGAGGGGAAAGAGTGGCAGGGCCCAGGCAGGGCTCAGAGGTGGAGGCTGGCCATGAAGCCTCCCTGAGCCCCCCTCCCACCACCACAGAACTGTGGGCTGCCCTCCATCCTGGACGGGCCTGGGCCATTCACAGTCTTTGCTCCAAGCAATGAGGCTGTGGACAGCTTGCGTGACGGCCGCCTGATCTACCTCTTCACAGTCGTAAGCTTGGCAGGGAGAAGGGGCTGTGGATATGGGGGCACCAGGGCCTCTCCCCCATGGGACCTCTGAGCCAAACCCTCTCTCCCTTGCCAGGGTCTCTCCAAACTGCAGGAGTTAGTGAGGTACCACCTCTACAGCCATGGCCGGGTGAGAGGTCCTCCTCCAGGAGGGCAGCCGGTTTGCTCCCAATGCTGGGCTCCCGGGAGTGGGGGGAAGTTGTGTGCAGGTTCTTTCTGGTCTTCCCAGGGACCCCTCTCTTCTGCATCTCCTCTCCCCTCCTGTCTGGACTCTTATAGCACAGAGGAGAGCCTGAGGACTAAGGGGGTAGCTGTGAGTCACGTGGGCAGGATTGGGTGTGGCCCCAAGATGTGGTCAGTGCTTAGCCTAGAGCCACCCTCTCCCTTGCCCCAGCTGACCATTGAGAAGCTCATCTCCAAGGGTCGGGTCCTCACCATGGCAAACCAGGTCCTGGCTGTGAATATCTCCGAGGAGGTGAGATTGAACATCTGGAATGAATGGATCGATGGAGGGGCTGGTGGTGACTGGCCAGTGGTTTGGCCTCTTTCATGCCTGCCCGTGTGCTCTGAGCCCTGTGGCGGGCAGGGCACTCTGCTAGGTCCTGGTGGGGGTCCTATGGGAAGTGGGCGTAGATCAAATTCCTCTCCTGGGCTCCAAGGAGGAGGAGGGTAAGCACATGGCAGGGGTGCTCCCTGTGACAGAAACCACATGGTTAAGGGCCTAGAGGCTGGGACAGAGATGCTGGCCAGAGCAGAGGGAGAGGAGGAGGCAGGCAGGGCAGTGGGGGCCTTCAACATCATGCTGAGCCACCCAGCCCAGCTGAGCTGCAGAGGTGGCGGTGGGCAGGGGAGCCGGCAAGGCCTGCTGGGCTGGGAGTGGCACTGTGGGTCTGTGCCTCAGGGGCGCATCCTGCTGGGACCTGACGGGGTCCCGCTGCGGAGAGTGGACGTGCTGGCCGCCAACGGTGTGATCCATATGCTGGAGGGCATCCTGTTGCCCCCGACCATCCTGCCCATCCTGCCCAAGCACTGCAACGAGGAGCAGCACAAGATCGTGGTGGTGAGCTGCACCCGCGCAGCCCAGGGCCCTTCACACTGAGCCCCCGCTGTGCTCGTGGAGGCGGTCGGCCCCGGGGCGTGGCACCCAGTCAGCAGAGGGCTAATGGCAAATCTGAGGCCCAGCAGCAGACTCCCAAGGACCTGCCTGGACTTCCACCCACAGCCCTCACTAGCCCTGACAATTCTGCCTTTGAGATGACTCTTGCATCCTCTCCCCTCGCCCCACCCTCCCCGCCCAGGGGACCTGTGACTCCCTCAGGCCCTAGTCCTCCTCACCTCCCGGCCCTTGCACGCCATTCCTGGCCTCTCTGCTGGTTTTCCAGAGATGCTCCACTCTTCCCACCCCCCGCCCAGGGGACCTGTGACTCCCTCAGGCCCTAGTCCTCCTCACCTCCCGGCCCTTGCATGCCATTCCTGGCCTCTCTGCTGGTTTTCCAGAGATGCTCCACTCTTCCCACCTCAGGGCCTTTGCCCTGCTCCCCTCTGCCCAGATGCTGGTCCTTGGCCTTCCTGTGGCTGGCTCTTTCTCATCCCTCAGGTCTCAGCTGCATGTCACTTTCTCAGGGTTTGCTGAATAAATACACGATGACTAACCCCTCTCCCCCTCCTCCCCCTGTGCTACCCAGGGCTCTTGTGTGGACTGTCAAGTCCTGAACACCAGCACGTGTCCCCCCAACAGCGTGAAGCTGGTGAGCAGCCCTTGGCCCAGCCCTCAGGGCTCCCTGACTCCTGACTGCCCTGAAGGCTTTTGCCCTGGGTCACGGTGGGGAGTGGGGCTGGGAGGCTGGGCCGGTCCTGGAAGATCGGTGCTTCACAGCCCTACTGAGGGTGGGAGTGCTGGACCTGGAGGGCTGACGTCCCGTGGCCCAGGACTCACACCTGCTGACTGGCCCTGCATGGCCCGCCCAGGACCTCTCCCCCAGGGAGTGTGTCTACATCCATGACCCTAGTGGACTCAACGTTCTGAAGAAGGGTTGTGCTGGCTACTGCAACCAGACCATCACGGTGAGCCTGGGCCTGGGCACTCACTCCTAGGGGACCTGGGCACCTGCTTTTCATCCAGGGTCCCCAAGCAGGGGCTGAGTGGGCTGCCTTCTTCAGAGAACTGCACTGAATCCTAATGGTGGAAAAGGTGTCACAGAGGGAACTTCCATGCTCCCTTGGTCTAGAGATGGGCTCTGGGAGCAGAAGCAGCCTGGGCAGAGGGAGGCATGGCCCCAGATCGACCCTCAGACACACTCTGCCTCTTACAGAAACTTGGATGCTGCAAAGGGTTTTTTGGGCCTGACTGCACACAGTGTCCTGGGGGCTTCTCCAACCCCTGCTACGGCAAAGGCAATGTGAGTCCCATCCTCCTCCGGGGTGAGTTGTGGGAAGGCAGGGGCTCTTCCCAAGCTGGCCGGTGACTGGCAGTGCGTCTGAGCCAAGCCTGCCAGTCTCTGGACTTGGATTCCTCACATCTAGGTAATGGAAATTGGACCAGATTATTTCTAGTATTTTAATTAGAAATAATTAAGTAGGTAGATTCTGCACTTATTTTTAAAAAGGTTATTTGTGAGTAGTTTACTTTTGTTTGCTGTTTTTGCCACTATGTAACATCAGGGTTACTTTAGCACCTGGCTTTGGAAAAACACAGGAGTTATGTGTTTCTAGGTTGAGCAGAAGTCACCCATAAGCCTCCAGGGCTGGGTGCCTTTTAGGGGGCTAGTCCTTTGGCAGCATCAGTGATTTTGAAGGTCCCTTTGAGGGTGAGGTCTTGAGGGGAACAGGAGCTCAGAGCCAGCCCGTGGAGGGAGGGAGTGTTGGGGGAGGGGGTGTGGGGAGTCTCTTTTCCATGACTGACCCTGCCTGCTGCCCACCCTCCAGTGCAGCGATGGGGTCCAGGGCAACGGGGCCTGCCACTGCTTCCCAGACTACAAGGGCATCGCCTGTCATATCTGCTCCAATCCAAACAAGCATGGAGACCAGTGCCAGGAAGGTGGGTGGTCCTGGCCTAGGCCACCTCCCAGGGAAAAAGAGGGTCTGCTTAGAAAGGGGACTGGGGGTTCCCAAGAAAGGAAACAGGGCCCCAAGAGGATGGGTGAAGGCCAGAGGGAGTGGAGGAAGACTTAGGAACAGAAATAGATAGGTGTCTCATTCACCCATGCCCAGAAAGGAACCTGGTTTAATATAAAGCATGCAGGATTTAGGTCAAACACACTGAAGAACTTCCTGGTGCTGGTGCTGGGGGCAGGGCAGCTAGAATGAGGTGACTGAAAGCTCAGAATGAACCCCTCACATCTGCTTGAACATCAAGTCCAGGATGACCTCTGATTTTGTGACCTGAAGCCAAATCTATACTGGCTACCCATTCCCAGCCCCACTCCAGCCCATCCTGGCTCCCAACCAGCCCTGTCCCTTGCCTCAGTTTCCCTCCTCCCATCTCTTCCTTGCAGACTGCGGCTGTGTTCATGGTCTATGTGACAATCGTCCAGGCAGTGGGGGTGTGTGCCAGCATGGCACTTGTGCCCCTGGCTTCAGCGGCCGCTTCTGCAACGAGTCCATAGGGGACTGTGAGCCCATGGGGCTGGCCCAGCACTGCCACCAGCATGCCCGCTGCATTAGCCAGGGAGGTGTCGCCAGGTGAGGACTTACATCCCTGCCCCACCCATGATCCTGCACATTGGTTTGCTCAGCCTCTAGCCTCTTCCAGATGCTTATTGGAGGCCTCTCCTTCACCCACCCTCAGATGTCTCTGTCTCGATGGCTTCGAGGGCAATGGTTTCTCCTGCACACCCAGCAACCCCTGCTCCCACCCAGACCGTGGTGGCTGCTCAGAGAACGTCAGTCCCCTTGGCCCTTTCCTGAAATTCTGACCCAGGGGCCAGAGGTGGGACACCCTGCTCCTCTGCCTTGCAGCCTTGAGTCCCTGAGTTATTTATCCGTGACTCTCACAGGCTCAGTGTGTCCCTGGGGCCCTGGGCACCCACCACTGTACATGCCACAAAGGCTGGAGTGGCGACGGTCGTGTTTGTGTGGCCATCGATGAGTGTGAGCTGGATACACGAGGCGGCTGCCATGCCAATGCCCTCTGCAGCTATGTGGGACCCGGGCAGGTGAGGCAGCAAACCCAGGGACAGCAGATGGGGTGGGGGCCTCAGTTCTGGGGTCTCTTCCCTGACCCATCTAACTCCTCCAAGAGTTCAAGCTCAGGGTCTCGAACCTCAGAGGTGAGAATCCAGTTCTGAATGCTGAGTCATACAATCTGGGATTAGTTCATTTATCCACTCGTTGGATTCCCATGTGTTGTCAGGCACCTGTTCCATGTTAGTCCATGTTCTAGATGTGGAGAATTCAATACTGAGCAAATCAGGAAGAGATCCCTGCCTATGGGACTCATGGAGATCCCGCTCTCGAATGTTGAGACACGTGGAGATTCTACTCTTGAACGTTGCAGTCTCAGATTCTAGTCACAGCATCCTAGGGCCCGGAGCCTCCTTCCATGTGAAGCATTTCCGGCCCAGTGACCCGAGTTCTGATGGGCATTTGAGGACATCCAACATGCCAACTGGGAGGCCAGGCCTGGCTGGTTCTGGGTCAGCCTCTGCATGGTCCAGGCCTATTCAGGGACGCAGGGGTTTCCTTGTCCTCCCAACTCCACGATTACCTCTGGGCCACCAGCCTGTGGGGACTGAGCAGTAAGAACTCAGACATGTGTGAGAGCTGGAGCTCCGAGCCCCATCGGGAGCCTTACAGTGCAGAACTGAGGTTCTGAATTAGCAGGTTGAGATGCCCCCTACTCACAAACCAGAGCGACTGAGATCTGGGGGATCTCACTGGTCACTCACCCGAAATGTGGACAAGCCCAAGGGCACTGGCATTCAGTGGGAGGCATCAGAGCAGCTGAACAGGATGGAAGGGGTGGAGGGGGGATCTGAGCCGCTGGCACTGGAGCTGGCCTTGGCAGACACCTGCCCACTCTCCAAGCTGCTGACCTCAACAGCTCTGACAGGACTCCGGGCAGCAAGTGTAGAGGGCCACCGAGTCCATGGATGCTTCCCTGCCAGTGCCTTCACTTCTTCAGATTCATGCCAGGAGCTGGTCTCCCCTCAGGGCCTCAGTCTCCCAATCCGGAGCTCAGATTTCCAAGGGTGGGACCAGGAGAAGCTTCTCTATGGTCTGGACAATCCTCCCAGGGGGAGAAAAGGGTTGTACGCTCATGGTGAGATGAGGCTGTCTGTTTCCCGACCTCTTCAGAGCCGGTGCACCTGCAAGCTGGGCTTTGCTGGGGACGGCTACCAGTGCAGTCCCATCGACCCCTGCCGGGCAGGCAATGGTGGCTGCCATGACCTGGTGAGGGGTCCAAGGGCTCAGAGCCCTGGGGAGACTCTGGGGTAGACCTGAGCTGGGGCGCTCTTTCTCTCTCTCTCTCTCTCTCTCTCTCTGGGTGTCTCTGTCTCCTGTCAGGATTGGGATCTTTCTAAACCCCAAATCCCACCATGTTACTCCCTCACCCCATTCACAGGATAAAGCCTTCAAACCTCCATATGGGACCCCAGGGGATGTGACTGAGGTTCCCTTGCCCTGCCCAGTGCTGGACTCAGCATGTACTTAGGACACATTACTGATGGGCAGTGTGTCTTTGGGCCAGCAGTGACTGCCCTGCAAGGGGCTGTTTGTCCACCTAAGACTGTATATGCACATCTGTCCCTCTCATCATGAGCCCTGGTGAGAGTCTGTGTGTCCATCTGGTAGATCCTGAGTATGTCTCAGTATGTCAGGAGGGGCAGCCATGGCCAGGCCAGGACATGGGAGGGGGCTTCTGTGCGGGACCCAGCTCCCAGTTCCACCAACACGTGCCTGTGTGCCTGGCAGCCTCTCTATTGTGTACCCACTCTTTTTATCATTATTATTATTATTATTATTATTATTATGTCTTTTGAGTCACATTCACTCTTAAGTGTCCCCCTGTGGCTGAGCTCTACCTGCTGCCTTCCAGAGGATCTGGGTGCAGAATGCCAGCGTGGATGTGGCTGACCTCCTTGCCACCAACGGTGTCCTACACATCCTCAGTCAGGTATGGCAGGAAGAGGGTGTGTGCAGGGAACCTCCCAGGCAGTGACACACTGACCAGCCCCTCCTGCTCTGGGCCAGGTCTTACTGCCCCCACGAGGGGACCTGCAGGGCGGGCCAGGGTTGCTCCAGCAGCTGGACTTGGTGCCTGCCTTCCGCCTCTTCCGGGAGCTACTGCAGGTAAGCATGGCTGGCAAGGGGGGGTGCCTGCTCAGGGGGCACACTCCCCCAGGTCTAGATGGGCTGCCTGGCTCCCATTGTCTGGACCGAGGATCAATATACCCATCCCTGACCCCCACCCTCATCCCTAGCGCCACAGGTTGGTGTCCCAGATTGAGGCTGCCACTGCCTACACCATTTTTGTGCCCACAAACCGCTCCCTGGAGGCTCAGGGCAACAGCAGCAGCCTGGTGAGGGGATGGGGCCGCCAAGGGGTGAGGGTGAAGGCACAGTGGATGAGACTAGTGGGAGCAACATGCCCTCCAAGGCACTTAGTAGTCCTGGAACCCCCTGAGCCATCTCCCCACCGCCTCCCCTGTCCCCAGGATGCAGGCACAGTGCAGCACCACGTGATCCTGGGAGAGGCACTCTCCATGAAAGCCCTGCAGAGGGGGGGGCACCGCAACTCCTTCCTAGGCCCTGCTCACTGGCTGGTCTTCTACAACCACAGCGGCCAGGTTTGGGGGGCGGGGAGCAAGGAGACCCTACCCCAGGGACCCTGCTCTTGAAGAGTCCACTTGGGAGCCTTCCAACCTCTGCTCTAGGGAGCCCTCTCCCATCCTTGGAGATACACCCCAGCCCTGGAGTGCCTCCTGGCCTTAAAGTCCCAAGATGAGGGTGGTGGTGGGGTGGCTGGATTTAACTGCCTATCCCACTCCCCAGCTTGAGGTGAACCACCTGCCTCTGGAAGGCCCCATGCTGGAGGCCCCTGGCCGTTCCCTGTTTGGCCTGTCAGGGGTCCTGACGGTGAGCTCAAGCCGCTGCCTGCGTAGCCACGCCGAGGCCCTGCGGGTGAGAGGCTGGGGCCACAGGAGGGCAGCCAGGGGAGTTAAGAGCATGGAGCTGCTGGTTTGCCTGGATGGCAGGGAAGGCCACTTGGTCAGCCTGCCCTGGAGGAAGAATGTGGGTTTGGGGGCCTGCCTGACGCTCTGCCCTCCTTCCCTCTCTCCCCCAGGAGAAATGCACGAACTGCACCCGGAAAGTCCGCTGCACTCAGGGCTTCCAGCTGCAGGTGAGGTTAAACTTAGCACCACTCCGTCCCTCCTTGGCAACTGCTCTCAAGGTGCCCAAGCCCCCCAGCCCAGCTCTGCTCTGCCCAGGTATGGGGAACTGGACTGGTGTGGGCAGTCAACTTCCCTGTAGAGGCCTGGAGGCCTAGCCCAGGTCTGCTCAGAGGAGCTTCTCTCAGATTTTTAGCTTGAGGCCTGGATCCTGCTGCCCTCCTCTCACTGGGTCTATCTGTCTTGGTCCCTCTCTGCTCTTCTGCTATTTTGCTCATCTGTCTGTCTCACCCATTCCAATACCAGTAGTCCATCTCTTTGTCTCCCCATTCACTGCCCAAGCCACTGGCTGACACATCCTGACTGTTCCCATTTCCAGAACACACCCAGGAAGAGCTGTGTCTACCAATCTGGCTTCTCGTTCTCCCTGGGCTGCTCTTACACATGTGCCAAGAAAATCCAGGTTGGCCCTGAAGTTCCCCCTCCCCAAGTCTTTGGCCAGAGAAAAGGAGGTGGGAGTGGGGCCCAGGGGAGGACCTGGATTGGATTTCAAGAGCAGAGGTTCTTGAAGTCTGGGACTACGGTGAGGTCAGTGAAGCAAGGCCAGGAGGAAGGGGAGGGAAGAGAGATCAGAGTCAGAGGGCTAGTGTTTGTCCCTGTGTCTACTTCCCTGGTGAGTGGGGCTGAGGAGAGGGATAAAGAGGCTCATTCCAGAGCTGGCACCATCAACCAACTCCCACGGGCAGTAACTGGGCTGGGCTCTGCTCCGCACTGTGGGATCTGGGTACAGCCCTTCCCTGTTTGAGCCTCAGTTTTCCCACTCCTGCCATGGTTGTAGAAGGCATTCTCCATGCCCCTTTCAGTTCTGACCTTCTACCTGTTGCTGGGTCTGGGTTCCAAGTTGCTTCATTCAATGGCTCCATGGCCCCAAGATGCTCCCACCCCCACCATGTTTCCCTTCCCCTGACATCTGTCCTGGCCTGTACCGGGTCTCTCCCTCCCTCTCCACAGGTGCTCGACTGCTGTTCCGGCTTCTTTGGCACACTGTGTGAGCCATGCCCAGGGGGTCTTGGTGGTGTGTGCTCAGGCCACGGGCAGTGCCAGGACAGGCTCCTGGGCAGTGGGGAGTGCCACTGTAATGAGGGCTTCCATGGAACAGCCTGTGAGATGTGCGAGCTGGGCCGCTATGGGCCCAACTGCACTGGAGGTGAGGACTGGGAGGGGCAGGATGGTAGGCATCCTGGCTGAGGACAGCAGGCTGGAGACCCCAGCAGGGGCAGGATGGAGGCACTGGGTAACTCCTGTCCTCCCTTGTCCCACTCACAGTGTGTGACTGTGCTCACGGGCTGTGCCAGGAGGGGCTGCAAGGGGACGGAAGCTGTGTCTGTAACGTGGGCTGGCAGGGCCTCCACTGTGACCAGAGTGAGTGGGTCCCAAGGGAGAGGGGATGAATGATTACTGGGGAGGCAGTTCCTGGGTCTGAATGACCAGAACCATTCTCCTACCACTAGAAATAATTGGCCCTCAGTGCCCCAAGAAGTGCGACCCCAATGCCAAGTGAGTGAGCCCAGCCTGGGGCAGGTGGGCAAGTGGTAGGGGGTGATGTCGGGGAGGGGCTGGGGAGGCATAAACTGAGCTTCTGCCATCCTTCTCAGCTGCATACAGGACTTGGCTGGAGCCTCCACCTGTGTCTGTGCTGCGGGATACTCGGGCAATGGCACCTACTGCTCAGGTCTAGCCACATGGGTACCCCAGGCCCCTCCTTGAAATTTTTGGGTGGTTGTCCCCACAGAGCCCCCTCAAATTCTTCTATGTCCAGCCTCTATCACTGTCCCATCTTAGGCCTTACTCCTCCCTCTGGCCTTTCCCTGTCTCTCATACCCTCCTCTCCTGCCCCCACCCCTGTCCTGTGCCTGTTCTTCACAACTCTCTGGGACCATCTACCCCTAGAGGTGGACCCTTGTGCCCATAGCCATGGGGGCTGCTCCCCCTATGCTAACTGCACCAAGGTGGCACCCGGGCAGCGGACATGCACCTGCCAGGATGGCTACATGGGCGATGGGGAACTGTGCCAAGGTGAGGCTGGGACCCCCATCCTGGGTGCATGTGGGGCTAGGGGTCTGGCTTCAGTGGTCCAAGTCAGACTAGGAGAGGCTAAGGGGCACACTGGGTGTGGGGACTGGGTATGCAGAGAGAGGAGGGGATGAGTACTTGAGGGTACAGATGGACAGATGCATGAAGGGGTTGCTGAGGGCCAGTCCTCATCCCAGCGTCTCTTCCCACAGAAATTAACAGCTGTCTCATACGCCACGGAGGGTGCCACATTCATGCCGAGTGCATCCCCATAGACCCCCTGCAGGTCTGCATGGCAGGACTGGATATTGGGACTGTGCCATTCACCCTAGGGTGGGGCCTCCCCTCAGACCAGGCCCCAGGAGGGGGGTGAACCTTCTATCCAGGGTGCTGGCCAGCTCTTGGCTCCCAGCAGCCCCACTGATCAAGATTTGGGACAGGTCTCCTGCAGCTGCCGCAAGGGTTACAGTGGGGATGGCATCCGGACCTGTGAGCTCCTGGACCCCTGCTCCCAGGTTAGGTCCCTAGTCCCACCCCATTTCAGAGAGAGAGGGAATTGAGGCAGGAACCAGCCCTCCTTATCCCCAGCAGGGTCCTAAGGGCCTCTGAAGGGTGGGTCGCCCTCCCCCAAGCTCCAGTCTGGCTGATGAGTAGGAAATAAGGCTTTGGGGGTGAGGCAGGAACCAGCCCTCCTTATCCCCAGCAGGGTCCTAAGGGCCTCTGAAGGGTGGGTCACCCTCCCCCAAGCTCCAGTCTGGCTGATGAGTAGGAAATAAGGCTTTGGGGGTGGACAGGGAACTTCATGGCCCCTTTCCCAGGGCTGGGTGGGATAGAGGAGTCCTGGAAGCCACTGTTGCCTCCCTCTCCTCTCCCTGCCTCAGAACAATGGAGGCTGCAGCCCCTATGCTGTGTGCAAAAGCACGGGGGATGGCGAGAGGACATGCACCTGTGACACAGCCCACACCGTGGGAGACGGCTTCACCTGCCGTGCCCGACTCAGCCTGGTAATGATGCCCAAGTCTAATCCCTGACCTGGTGTTGGTTACGCCCCATGGGCCTGACGCATGATCTTGGCTAAGACCCCAGACTTGATTCTGATCCTGGCTCTGACCATGACCCTGTGCCTGACCTCAGCTGTGACCCATGAAACTAATCCTGATCCCAGCTCAGAACCCCCTGGCTTTCTTTTCCTCATCTCTGCTTTGGCCCTGAATGGGGGTCACCCCAAATCTGAGCTGATCCTCACACCCCCACCCCCAGGAGCTCCTTCGAGACAAGCAGGCCTCATTCTTCAGCCTTTTCCACGTGGTGAGTGACCAGCCTGGGCCTCGGTGACTTGCAGGTCCCACCTCTCTCTGAGCCTCTATTTTCCTATCTGTTTAGAGGGTTGGATGGTCCGTTCTCTCAGAATCCAAGTCTTTTCTGGAAGATCCGTGGAAGCCCCAGTTGGTCCCAGGTTGCCCCCCTTCCACTGAAGCTGTTCTTCCCGGCCCCCAGGAATACAAGGAGCTCAAGGGTGATGGGCCTTTCACAATCTTCCTTCCGCAAGCAGATCTAATGACCAATCTGTCACAGGTACGCAGCCCCCGGAGTGAGGCTGGGGAGGGATGGGCAGTCTGCTGGTGGGCACTGCCTAGGCAGAGGTGGCAGTCAGGGGTCCTTACTATCCTCACGACTCCGCTCCAGGAAGAGCTGGCCCGGATTCGCGCACATCGCCAGCTGGTGTTTCGCTACCACGTGGTCGGCTGCCGGCGGCTGCTGAGCCAGGAGCTGCTGGACCAGGGGTATGCCACGGCGCTCTCCGGGCACCCGCTGCGCTTCAGCGAGAGGGAGGTGAGCTCGGTCCCCGCCCGCACGCGTTTAAGACTCTCTCACCTACCCCTACCCCCACGGCCAGGGGGCGCTTCAAGGAGAGGGAGGTAAGTCCGGCCCCCGGCCCCCGCCCATAACCTGGGAACCGCCCACTACCGTGGGCCCGCCCCGGGGCCCAGGACTCCGGAGTTTAGCCCGCGGCACCGCCCCCAGCCAAGTCCCAGGCCTTTGCTTGCTTCTCTAAGAGGGACGTGAGTCCCGCCCCTGCCTTGACTCCGCCCCAATCCCCGCCCAACTCTTGCTTTGGTCCTGGACCCGGGACTGTGCCCCCAAGATGCTCCCAGCCCAGGCTCCGCCCCCGCCTCCCGCCCCATCCAAATCTTCCCAGCACCCTGCCAATCGGCTTCCCTCAACCCTGGGCCCCGTCCCCAGGGCAACATATACCTCAATGACTTCGCCCGGGTGGTGAGCAGCGACCACGAGGCTGTGAACGGCGTCCTGCACTTCATTGACCGTGTCCTGCTGCCGCCCGACGTGCTACACTGGGAGCCTGACACTGCCCCAATCCCGCGGGTATGACCTGGGCACGGGCTTCGGAGCTGGAAGGCAGGAAGGTGAGGGCCTGGGATCCTCCCTTCCCGCCTGGCCTCGCTGCTCCTAAATTCCTTTTCCCAGAGAAACGTCACCGCCGCCGCCGAAAGCTTCGGTTACAAGATCTTCAGCGGCCTTGTGAAGGTACTGCTCCCGTGTGTGAGCTTGTCAGCGTGCATATATGCACGTGTAAGTGTACGGAACGCTGTGTGTGCTTACCTGTCCGTGCACACCCACCTATGTGCAAACCTGTCCCCCATGTGAGTGAGCACATCTGTGTGAACTCACGTGTGCATAGGCCGTTTGTGTGCATGAGGCTCCCAGTGTGAGCACAGGGTTTGCTTATGTGTGCTTGCATAACTGACAACAGTGTGCTCTGTTAAGGTGTGTGCAAGTCTGTGTGTGCGAACTTACCCTTGCAGGTGTGCCCACATATGTCTGCCTGGATGGCTACAGATTAGTGTGGTCAGTGGGAACACTACCTGGGTCTCTGGAACCCCTTCCTGGTTTCTGCCTTCTAGCTTCCAGCCTTTGTCTGGGCTGTGACTGCCACACCCCTGCTCCACCCCACCAGGTGGCTGGCCTCCTGCCCCTCTTTCGAGATGCATCCCATAGGCCCCTCACAATGCTGTGGCCTACAGACTCTGCCCTGCAAGCCCTGCCTCCCGATCGCCAGGCCTGGTTGTACCATGAGGACCACCGTGACAAGCTGACAGCCATTCTTCGGGGCCATGTGATCCGCAATATTGAGGTGGGTGCACCCCCAGATCTGGTCCCCACTGCCTGCAACTTAGCTTGCCTACCCGGCTCCAACCATGGCTCCATCTGCTCAGGCCTTAGCATCTGACCTGCCTAACCTGGGCCCACTCCGAACCATGCATGGGACTCCCATCTCCTTCTCCTGCAGCCGCACCCGGCCCGTGAGTATGGGAAGAGGGCTTGGATAAGGGAAGCAGGAGGCAGGGGCTCTGGCAGTGGTGGGCTGCAGTGCACCTCTGATCCCCATGTATCCTACATTTTCCCCCTGCAGGGTGAGCTCATGGTGGGTGAGGATGAGGCCCGCATTGTGCAGCGACACCTGCCCTTTCAGGGTGGCCTGGCTTATGGCATCGACCAGCTGCTGGAGCCACCTGGCCTTGGGGCCCGCTGTGATCTCTTTGAGAAAAGGCCACTGTGGCTGGTGAGAGAGACCATAGACTGGAAGTGGATGGGCAGGGGCCCAAGCCCACCTGTCCTGTCCATCCACGTGACCTTGCTCTGTTGGCCTCCATCCCTTCCAGAAGATTTGCAGCATCTGCGGGTTGGAGCCTCCATGTCCTGAGGGATCACGGGAGCAGGTAAAGGACTGGGGGCTGGTGGGGGGGAGGGGGCAGGACACAAGGGGCCACCAAGCTCAGGCTGTCTTGGCTTGACTTCTCTTGACCCAGGGCAGCCCTGAGGCCTGCTGGCGCTACTACTCTAAATTCTGGACGTCCCCTCCTCTGCACTCCTTGGCACTACGCAGCATCTGGGGCCGGCCCAGCCTCTGGGGGCAGCCCCAAGGTCTGGGCAGGGGCTGCTACCGCAACTGTGTCACCACCACCTGGAAGCCCAACTGCTGCCCTGGTCACTATGGCAGTGAGTGCCAAGGTGAGCCTCCTGAGGTTGCAGATACTGCTTGGCTCCTCTGGCCCCCAAGATAGCTGAGGGCACAAGCTCTAGCCATTTTCTCTGAAAAAGCGTATTGGGGAGCTCTGGGGCCAGGAAGATGTGGGTGGTGAGTAGATTTTACTTGACGGAATGCTTGAAGAGGCAGGGTGGGTGTGTATATGATGCAGAACCTGGTGGGTAGTGCTGGGGGTCTGGAGGGTTCTCAGCAGCATGGGGACAGGGGTGGACTGGTGCTTCTGGAAGAGCATTGGCTGCCACTGGGTGGGGGACAGATGGCAGGGCTGGGCTGGGGGCGCATGTATGGGGGTCTTGATGAGAGCCCTGGCCCCACCTCACTTCTCCCACCCTATCCCCTAGCTTGCCCTGGAGGCCCCAGCAGCCCCTGTAGTGGCCATGGTGTGTGCCTGGACGGCATGAGCGGCAGTGGGCAGTGTAGATGTCATTCGGGTTTTGCCGGGACAGCCTGTGAACTCTGTGTGCCTGGTGCCTTTGGACCCAAATGCCGAGGTGGGCTGTCCTGCCCCCCTGCCTCAATTCCCTTGGCCCTTATGTGCCAGTCTTTATCGTCCTGCCTGTCTTCCCCCAGCCTGCCGCTGCACCACCCATGGCCGCTGTGATGAGGGCCTTGGGGGCTCTGGCTCCTGCTTCTGTGATGAAGGCTGGACTGGGCCACGCTGTGAGGTGCAGCTGGGTGAGTGGCCCTCATGCTTGTGCCCAACCCTGCACACTTGTATACACTTGCATACACTCAGGTGGATGCACTGAGGGTGGGTGGGACAGATGGAAGCCAGGAGAGCAGCTACTAACCTGGTTATGTGGGGATGGGCCCTGGGGGACAGAGCTGCAGCCTGTGTGTCTGCCACCTTGTGCACCCCAGGCCATGTGCCGTGTGGGCAACAGCTGCGAGTGCAGCCTGGGCTATGAAGGGGATGGCCGTGTGTGCACAGGTAAGCAGGTGGGTAGGGATGTGGAGGTGGGAGGGCTCCCATTCTCCTCCACTCACCTAGTCCAACCATTCCCTCCCTATCCCCAGTGGTGGACCTGTGCCAGCATGGGCATGGTGGCTGCAGTGAGCACGCCAACTGCAGCCAGGTCGGCACAGTGGTCACCTGTGCCTGCCTTCCTGACTATGAGGGCGATGGCTGGAGCTGCCGGGCTCGCAACCCCTGTGCAGACAGCCACCGTGGGGGCTGCAGTGAGCATGCTGACTGCCTGAGCACCGGTCCGGTGAGAAAAGCAGCTGGGTGGGAGGCCCCCATCCTGGCTTCCCAGCTCTGAAGGGCACTCACTGCTCTCCCTGCCTCAGAACACGCGGCGCTGTGAGTGCCATGCAGGCTACGTGGGTGATGGACTACAGTGTCTGGAGGAGCCCGAGCCACCTGTGGACCGCTGCCTGGGCCAGCCACCACCCTGCCATGCGGACGCTGTGTGTGTGGATCTGCACTTCCAGGGTACGCTCCCCTGCCCACTCCCAGTGGCGCTGGCCACCTTATCACTTGGCGCTGGCCACCTGACCATGCACCCCTCCTTTCTGCAGAGAAACGGGCTGGTGTCTTCCACCTCCAGGCCACCAGTGGTCCTTATGGCCTGAACTTCTCAGAGGCAGAGGCGGCATGTGGGGCCCAGGGAGCTGTCCTTGCTTCACTCCCTCAGCTCTCTGCTGCCCAGCAGGTGTGTGGGCCCGGCAGTCAGAGCCAAGCCCATGGAGGCCCCTCAAGTTGGGCCTTGGGTCTCAGCATTCCCTCCTGCCCCTACAGCTGGGCTTCCACCTGTGCCTCGTGGGCTGGCTGGCCAATGGCTCTGCTGCCCACCCCGTCGTTTTTCCTGCGGCAGACTGTGGTGATGGTCAGGTGGGTGTAGTCAGCAAAGGAGTCCGCGAGAACCTCTCGGAGCGCTGGGATGCCTACTGCTACCGAGTGCAAGGTGCGTCCACCCCACCAAGCTCCGTTTCCTGGCTCCGCCCCTTGCTACCAATCCACCAAGCCACTGCCTGCCTTTCCTGCAGACGTGGTCTGCCGATGCCGAGACGGCTTCGTGGGTGATGGGATCAGTGTGTGCAACGGGAAGCTGCTCGATGTGCTGGCTGCCACTGCCAACTTCTCCACCTTTTATGGGGTGTGCAGGGATTCAGCCTTGGGGGGTGGGTGTGTGGGGCAGAAGGTTCCTACTCATGGTCCCGTCTCCTGACTCACCTAGATGCTGCTGGGCTATGCCAATGCCACCCAGCGGGGTCTTGACTTCCTGGACTTCCTAGATGACGAGCTTACCTACAAGACACTCTTTGTCCCTGTCAATGAAGGCTTTGTGGACAACATGGTAACTAGCAGGGACATGGGCAGAGCAGGCCCCAAAGATGCTCTCTCTGGCTGGCCCAGGCCAACAGGCCTTGCTCTGCCCACAGACGCTGACTGGCCCAGACCTGGAGTTACATGCCTCCAACACCACCTTCCTGAGCACCAACATCAGCCAGGGGGCCTTGATCCCTGCCCACTCAGGACTCAGCCTCGTCATCAGTGACATAGGCCCTGACAATAGTTCTAGGGCCCCTGTGGTGAGTAGCTGTTCCCCTACCCTGCTGGTCCCAGCTTTCACTCACCTGCTGGGCCTGACTCTGGTCTCCCTGTAGGCCCCAGGGGCAGTTGTGGTTAGCTGCGTCATCACATGGGACATTGTGGCCTTCAATGGCATCATCCATGCTCTGGCCAGCCCCCTGCTGGCACCCCCACAGCCTGTGAGTTGGGGGAAAAGGGGGTGAGGCAGAGCTTCTAGGGCTGAGGGGGCTGTTCTGGTCGGGTCCTTGACATGCTCCTTTTTTGCATCAGGTGATGCTGGCACCTGAAGTCCCACCTGTGGCAGCAGGTGCAGGGGCTGTGGTAGCTGCTGGAGCACTGCTGGGCCTTGTGGCGGGAGTCCTCTACCTCCGTGCCCGAGGCAAACCCACAGGCTTTGGTTTTTCCACCTTCCGGGTAGGGTTGGGTTGAGGGACTAGTGGGGGTGGGCAGGGTCCTTCCATTTTGCTTGAGGCCACTCACCACTCATCTCTCTGGCTCCCAGGCGGAAAGTGATCCTGATGACGACTTCTCCCCATGGCAAGGAGGGACCAGCCCAACCCTGGTCTCTGTCCCCAACCCCATCTTTGGCAGCCATGATGCCTTTTGTGAGCCCTTTGACGTGAGTGTGGGGGTGTGGGGAATGTGAAAGTGGGCCTAGGGTCCTTCTTGGCCTGCCACCAACAGCCATCCTCTCTCAGGACTCGCTCCTGGAGGAGGAGTTCCCTGACACCCAGAGGATCCTGGCAGTCAAGTGATGTGGCTGAGGCTGAAGCAGAGACATATGCAGGAAGGAGGCCACTTTTATTGCTTGCCTGGACGGACGCCCAGTGTGGACAGGGTGGGAGGGGCTGGGACCTGTCCCAGACAATAAAGGTGCCCTCAGCGGATGTGGGCCATGTCACCGAGGAAGGGTGTCTTCATGCAGCCAGTGCACAGCTGGTCCATCCAGAGGGGTGCCTCATGCTGCAGGGGCGTGCGGCGTGGGTAGAAAGTGAAGTCCACGCGGTAGTTGAGCAGGCAGCTGAGGGAGGCCATGTAGAGGTCGGAGAAGCGCACGAGGCGCCTTGAGAAGTAGGTAGGGTTGTGGAAGGTGCGGAAGATGCTCCCAAACTGAGCATTGAATAGGGCCTTCGTGATGCACCTGGGTAGGGAGACAAGGGCGCTCGAGGGGTGGGTACAGGAGGGGCTGGTCCAGGGCCCCTGCTCTGTTCCACCTGCTCACCTCAGCTCCTGCCGCTCCTTCATCCAGGCAGCCAGCACCTGCCGTGACTCTGCGTCCTGATAGGTCTGGGGGTGACACAGTGCATGCTGGGTGTGTGTGCAGGGAGGCTGCAGCCCTGGCCCCTCCCTGTGGGGCGCCCCCCACCCCCACACCTGCATGCGCTCCAGCAGCCCTGTGAGCGCCTGCTGCCACGTCAGCGAGTGCATGTACTGCTCTGTGTTGATGATGCGGATCTCGCGCTCCAGCTCGGGGATGATGGCACCCGTGCGCCAGCCATGCCGCAGCATAATGTCCTGGTGGGTGGAGTGGCGGGACTGGACTCAGTGTCAGCTGGTAGGGCTCCCTCCCCGTCCCCCTGCAGCCCAGTCCTGCCCCCTTCACCGCCAGGTCACTGTAGAGGTGATCTCCGAAGTAGAGCACGCGGGGTCCGCGCCATTCTGTCAGGCGCAGGAAGTCAAACAGGTTTCCCTGGGGAGAGGAGAGGGAACACTGCTGAGCCAAGTGTGCTCCCATGGGGCTGCTGGAGCCAGGCTTCATTTTCTACCAGTCCTCCCAAATCACCAGAGGCAGCTCAAACCCAGCCGGATGCTGGGCTGCCCTTTCCCGTGGCCTTGCTCTCCCCCCACCCTGGGCTCTGGCCCTTGCCACTTACCCCTCCCACTTAGAAAGGGGGGCTCTGCCTGCTGCAGGAACATCTCCTGTAGGCCTGGCATGGTGCCCTGTGCCTCAAGGACCTCCCCTCCCTGTGGCCTCGCACCCACCCCAGGCTTGGGATCATGTTCCTATGAGAAACAAACAGCTGGGAAGGCCCCACAGCCCTAAAGCAAGGAGACCCGGAAGTCCCTGCTGGCCTCCCCAGCCTCTGCCCAAAGGGACCCAGCAGGCCAATGGTAGACCTCACTGGGAACCATCTGCTTCTGCTCCAAAGCTGGAGAAAGATGGAAAACCTGAAGCCAGGTCCAAACATAACTGGGGAAGCTCTCGGGGGAACAAGAACAGGGGGCTAGATCAGGAAGTGCAGCAGCCACAGTGGCGGGAGCCGCACCCCAGCAGCGAGAAGCAAAGCACAGCACACAGAGCAGTCTGTACAGCCAGGAGCCTCAGAGAGATGGAAACCATGGGGAAGCAGGTGGTTGTGGAAGAACTTTAACTGTAGAAATAAACTCAAGTGCAGAGGCTGAGGAGGGAGGTATGTGTGGGTGAAACGCTGAGGAAGTGTCTGCTGGCCCAAGAGAAAGAATCTTGAGGGGCAGGAGACCAAGAGAGGGCAGAGAAAGACGTGGACCTGGAGAGGCTACTGAGAACCAAGCAGGAGCCAACACACACAGCATAAGGACACTTCAGAACACCAGGCTGAAAGCAGCCAAAGAAGATGAAGTCACATGTTTCCCACAAAGGTGTGTGACCCTCCTCACCTGCGGCCAGATGCCAGGACAAAGGACCTGAAGGGCTGTGGAGAGTTGGGGTGCTGCAGGGCGGGAATGGTGGGAGTACGCCTGCAGGCCAGGCCTGGGCACTGGGCACCCCACTGCTGCTCCTTGTAGCTACTCTCCCAGCCAACTGCTTCCTCTTCCCCGAGCCCCAAGGCCTCTGGAACCCTCACCCCTAAGACCCAGCTCAGCCAGGATTTCCACATTCCAGCCAGGGCCAAATGCCTTAATCCCCTGTTGCTTACAGCCACCCAATCCCCAGTCCAGCACCAGGTCCCCTTCTCATCTTCCCAGCCAGGCAGGAAGGGGGGTTTCTCCTCAGAGTGCCCATGAGCTGCCCCACAGGCCCAGACTTGTTCTGAGTGCAGCAGAGTATTCAGCCCTAACTAATGACAGTTCCATTTGTTGGGCACTTAGCAATTGCTGGCCATTCTAAGGACCTTCCGCAACCCAAGTAGGGAGTATTATATGTCTTTTGCAGATGAGGACGGCAAGGCAGGGCCAGGCTCTCCCTGCTGTTGAGCAGTGGAGTTGGAATTCAACCCCAGGCAGCTTGACCCAGAGGCCAAGCTCTTGACACCTCCTAGACTTGCTCAGTGACAGGCATGCGCTGGTGGCCCTTGGCTCCAGCCCCACAGTGTGAGGCTGGTCAGGGCTGTGTTGCTGTGTTGCTGCTTCAGATGCTGCCCCTGCACAGCTCAGGGCCTTGGTTAGGTCCTGTGCCCCTGCCATGTGCTGCTCCCATAGATGGCCCTCACCTGCCGGTAGATCTTGCCCTTTTCCAGGCGGGTGATACGGTCCCACTGGAGCGAGCCCTTCTCGTCAAGTTTTCTGAAAGGCCTGGGTGAGAGTGAAGGACTTGATCTGATCTGCGGCAGGGCCACGTGCTGGCTACCTGCCCCCTCCTCTGTAAAGGCCCACCTGCTCAAGTGGGCCACATGCTCACAAAGGGGTGTCCTCACCCCAAGCACAGAGGGTGGTGAGCAAGGGCCAGGCTGGCCTAGTGCCCCAGTCCCCTTATTGGGGGCAGGGCTCTATTCCCCTTCCCTGGCCCTGCCGACTCCTGCTGGGCCCATACTTGCGCCGGTCGGTGAAAAAGCTGGGCTTGTCTGCCTGGACGATGACCACATCAAAGAGCTGGCGCCAATCGGGACCCACCATGTGCCGCATCCCCTTGTCCCTGTGCAGAGGTGGTACAGGCGGCAGGTGGTCTGAGGGCAGCTCTGACCTGCCCACCCTGCCCAGGGCCTGGCCCTGCCCTGCCTTGTCCCCGCTTCTACAGCGGGGCTGGACTCACACAAAGCTGAAAGGACTGTTGGTGATGAGGAACAGCTGTTTCCCATGGGCCACCAGGCGGCTCAGGACAGCAAAGGTTTCGTCCCCTCTCAGGATGTACTTCTCTGATGGGAGAAGATGGGTCTGTGAGGGCCAGCCTTGCCACCCCGCTCAGGCAGGCCGCGGCAGGGCTGCTGTCCACCCTTACCCATGTCCTGCTCAATCCACTGGTACATGAGGCCCTTCACGTGCACATCTCGAATGGCGTCCTGGGGGCAGTGGCGGGACAGTGAGGGGCAGTGGTGACCCAGGAGGGCCTGCCCTGTTGTGGCTGGACTTCCCCTTCCCTGCCATCTGAGAGACAGACCCAGCATCCTCACCGTCACATCCTTGTAGAGATGTGCTTGGTCAAAGTCCAGGCCATGGCCCAGGAAGTGGTCCACTACGCAGGAGAGCAGCGCCATCTCTGGCAGTGAGAAGATGTCCATGAACTGCTTGATGGAGGGGCCCTGTGGAGGGGGCCACTATCTCAGCAACCCCTTTGGCTCCACCACCCTCAGTGCTGGAGACCAGTGACTCCAGATCTGCCTTAGGACACCGGTAGGGGGTGCAGCCTGTGGGTCAGGGCTGGCCACTGGGCTGTAGGCACTGCCTCCCAGGGAGCCAGCATCCACAGAGAGAGCACCAACCTGGGCTGCCCTGGGCAGCAGTGTGTGGAGAGAGTACCTTGCCATAGAAGCCGCTCATCTGGTACAGGGGGATGTGCTGGGTACCCCCATACAGGTCAATCACCTCCTCGTCTGGCACAGGCTGGAGGCCCCTGAGCAGTTGCATAGATACCATCAGTCTAAGGTTGTCCTGAGCCCAGGCAGCAGCACAGGGTGGGGGCGGGGGCAGGGCAGAGTCAGCACTGACCTGTAGGCCGTCCCCAGCTGCACGTAATGGAAGGCATCAATCTTCATTAGAAGGCTCTATGGGTACCGGGGGTATGATGGGTGGTAAGGAAGTAGTTTTGCCATTGGCCCTGAGCCAGCCTCTTCCAGCCCCCACGCCAAAGCTTCAATTGGACAATACCAAGGGGTGGACAGATGAAGAGACCTTCCTCTAGAGGTGAGGGGGCCCAAGGAAGTAGCCCCTTTACACGTCCAGTCAGGAGGGTCGGGGAGTCAGTGTCCAGTCACTCACCTTCTGAATGTCATAGTGGAGGCCACGGATGGCGAAACTGGGGTCGTAATCATACTTCCGAATCCCTTCAGGGTACTGTTGGGGGTAAGTGGGCCAGGCCTAAGCCAGTGGCACTGATAGACATGCTGGCTGGGCAACCACCTCAGGGAATCAATCCAGTCACCTCCCCAGGGTAGCTGCAGGCCAGGGGAGCTCCATGACTCAGCCCTGGGCTTAGGCCAACCTGGGACCTGCTCACCTCCAGGGCCTGGGCATAGGGGCTGGCACGGGCCCCCTGCCTGGCTAGCCTCACCTTGTAGTGCTCAATCAGGATGTCACGGGCAGCACTGAAGATCTCAGGGTGTAGTGCATCTGCATACTGGGCCAGTGTGTAGTCGTAGTCAAAGCCATAGACCTCAACATCACGTAGACTGATCTCGTTGTTGGCGTAGATGGCGGCGGGGTTCAGGAGACTGCAGACCTCGGGGGGCAGGAGGTCTAGATGAAGGAGATGCAAGGAGGCAGTATGATGGGGGTGATGAACTTGGCAGCAGCAAGTGGTTTCTGAGCACTTTATGGGTGCCCAGCCCTGTAGGCCTCATGAAACACGCTTGAAGGCAACTCTTTACCCAGTGCTGCAGATGGTCAAACTGAGGCTCAGAAAGGTCACGTGGTTGGGGTAAGGCAGAGGTGGCAATGGGCTGAGCCCATGGCTGGAGCTCCTCCTCATGGGTCCCCCACAGTTGCACTTGGTTATACTGCCTGTGTTACACCTGCAACCCTCCAGGAACACCTAGCTTGTGCCTGGTCCAGGCTCTCAGCACTGAGCCTCATCAGACACACGGCTGTGCTTGAACCCTGCCAGCTCCCCACTG